CTAGAGAGTAAAAAGTGACCATTTTAATGAACATTACATTAATAATTTAAATGTAATTGGAGATACAGATTCATCAAAAGACAAAGATCTATCTCAAAGGTAATATTCTACACATTAAACAAAAGATATTAGCATTTAAGCATTCTTCTTTGCACAACCAGAAAAAGGTGTAATTTGGCCCTGTCTTGCATGTTTGCCCCTAATATCACTATTCTGACACTAAATACAAACAAGCACAAAATACTTTGTAAGTAATCACTAATAAAAATAGAGATGGCTATTAGGAGAAACAGGTGATTGGGTTATTTTTTTAATTTTAATTACTATTCAAGAATATATAGTTCTATTTACTGAGCATCAATAATAACTAATTTTAAAATTAAGTAAATAATAAAACAACTTTTAATAAAAAACGCAAGCAAGCGTTTTTATACATTATTATGCAGGCCCATTGTCATGTTTTCTATATTAAAATGGAATGGTTAGGCATAGGATTACTAAGAATAACTCTCATGTTTTAAAAATTCAATTCACATAATTTTTAAAAGATTGGCAAAAATGGCTGGTTTAATGTTATTTAATAAAATGTAGCTATGATTCTAGTGTTATCAGCATTAAATATAACACAGCTTATATTTTTATTCTATTTGGATATATTTTTCCTAAACTTATATAGGTATACTGATGCAATTAGTTAGCATTACATCTACTAAGTGTTTGAGATTATAAAAAACATAAATTTGGCCAGGAGCTGTGGCTCACACCTGTAATCCCAGCACTTTGGGAGGCTGAGGCGGGCAGATCACCTGAGGTCAGGAGTTTGAGACCAGTCTGGCCAACATGGTGAAAACCCATCTCTACTAAAAATACAAAAATTAGCTGGTGTGGTGGAACACACCTGTAATCCCAGCTACTTGGGAAGCTGAGGCAGAATAATTGCTTGAATCCAGGAGGTGGAGGTTGCAGTGAGCTGAGATGGCACCACTGCAGTCCAGCCTAGACAACAGAGTGAGACTCCACCTCAAAAAAAAGAAAGAAAAAGAAACTATGAATTTGTTTTTAACCTAATTAAATCACATAGATGACAAGCTTTATTTCAACAGTAATTGTGTTTTTTAATAAAGCCAACTTAAAAAAGTCTCCAAGAATTTTTGGTAGTTTAAAATGTTATATGTATATTAGATTAAATTAGTTAATAGGTATTCCTTAATCAATATCTAATCTAATATCTAGATCATTTTTAAAAAGATAAAACACAAAAGCATGCTTTGTAATTTATATACTTTTTAACTCTTATTTTTATAGTTTAGAGAAGCTGTATATACTTGGCTCTGTTAATAAATATGTCATTCTTGCCACATGAAAATGATATTCTATAAAGAAGTGTATGGATATTAAAAAAGTATAAAATTTATATTCATAATGTCTGCTTATTTACTACAAAATGCTGACAAACCTTACAATTATCTACCTCATAATTACACCTATAAAGTGAAAATTTAATTAAAAATTATAAATGATTTTCTTAGGAAAAATCATGATATAACGCAACTTTGTCAACAAGATATACGAGACATTATTTTTTAAAAAATATAGTGTTATCTTAATAGAAAATGACTAATCTTCCTAAAAATGTGAAAATGTGTAAACAAATGAATAAAATGTAAAAAGTATAAAAGAATCATGAAAAACATTATTTTTTCATGGTCAATGTTGGCTAATTTTTAAGGTTTCTTATAAGATTTTTAACAACAGCATCAAATTTTATTTTGATGCAAAACTAAAATTTGACTTTTCTCTCTTTATTAAAATGACAAAATGTTATTGGATTTTTTGTTTACTATAAATAAGAGATTGTAAAATATATTTTTATTTGACTTCACTATAAAATGCCTGAAGACAAACATTCTATACCTTATCAGAATATTTTTCTCTGCCTTATGTTGACTTAACCACATTCTTAATTATTAAAAATACAAAAAGTAGCCGGGTGTGGTGGTTCACGCCTGTAATCCCAGAACTTTGGGAGGCCGAGGCAGACGGATCACCTGAGGTCAGGAGTTCAAAACCAGCCCAACCAACATGGAGAAACCTTGTCTCTACTAAAAATACAAAATTACCCGGGCGTGGTGACACATGCCTGTGATCCCAGCTACTCAGGAGGCTAAGGCAGGAGAATCACCTGAACACTGGAGGTGGAGGTTGCGATGAACCGAGATCACTCCATTGCAATATAGCCTGGGCAACAAAAGCAAAACTCCATCTCAAAACAAACAAACAAACAAAAAAACTAAAACACCCCAAGTTTGTTCACTGTTATATTAAAAGATCAAAACCAAACTATGGGTTTTCACAAGAGAGACACTTAAATGAATATAATAAAGAAAAGTTGATTGAATTTCTTAGCAAAGATATTAAACAAATGTGATAAAATGGAATGTAGGGGTGATAACATTAATATCAGATAAGTTGAAAACTGCTTTTTAGTCTCCCCCCATTTTTTAATGTTCAAATTCACTGCTAATAAAGAAAATACAAATTCAATTAACAATGAAAAATAATAGCATATTTATCAGAATGGAAAAGTTAAAATGAATGGCAATTTTTTTTGCTATTAGGCATGCAGGCAAAAGTTAACTCTCATGTCTTGTTGGTAAAAATGAAAAATGCCCTAAGCTTTTTACAAAGCAGTCTGGCAATATCTATTATCTTATGTAATTTAAAATACATGCACATTTTGACTCATTGCTTCCACTGCTTGTGATCTTTCTCATAGAAATAAAAGCATAAAAATTGACTACAGTAATAACTGTTATGATGAAAATAATGAATGTTATCAATAATCATTGCTAGGGCACTAATTGAGTGACTCAACTATGCTATGGGTACACAATGTAGTATATTGATTGCTTCTTTGCTTCATTCATTGATTAACTCCTTTCAGTTTTATTTAGTGAATACTATATGTCAAACTCTATCCTAGGTTCTGGAAATACAGTGGTGAATAAAGACCTCTTACTGCTTTGAGTTTAAGTAGTCTGGTTGGGGGAGGGAGAGAGAGAGAGAGAGAGAGAGAGAGATAGAGAGAGAGAGAGAATTAAATAAACATTCGATTATCACTATATTAGAACTGATAAATGCTCAGAAAGGAAAATAAAAATAGAAAGGAGATGGGAGTCTGATATTGGAGGATTGGTTCACAAATTAAATAAGATAGAGCCAAAGAACGATTCACCCAGAGGGTGCACAGATCTGAGGAGCTGAGGGAGCCAGCCATTTCTTGTCTACGGATTTGTCATATCTATTCTAATGGATAACTTCCCTTTGGAAATTTTTTTCTAGCTGGCCTCTGACTCCTTCAAGCAGTATACATAATCCTTTGGCCCACGTTTTCCTGTCCTGTCCAAAGATATTCAACTCTAAAGAAATTTCTTATAATTAATCTACTACTGTTAGAGAGTCTCATGGAGTTTATCGACAGAAAAAGCTAGAAAGGAAAATATTTGTGAATATGTACAATTACCCAGGCACCTTGCTGAGTGTTGCAAATGTTCTCCATTATCTATCTCCATATCTGGAAGGACGCATCAGTCTGAACTCAAGCTTAGCTTAAAGGAGAAATTTTAGAGCAAGCAATAAAAGTGTTCAACTATGAATATTGGGAGTGGATATGAATTTTAAAAAAAGTTGTGAACATGAATCTTTAAAAAATCAATATGTAAGTGTGTGGAAGAAACCTTCTCCCCACTCCAGTAGGGAGGCAATAAATACAGAGGCAAATATACTGAATCATTATTTCTATTAGGCAAGTTCAAGCTAAAAGGCATCAAAATATTTACATTTGCCAAAAAATTAACCAATAAATCCAGAGATAAGTCTGAGGAATTCTCCTACAGGAAATGAAAAATACTACAATTTCTTCGTGAAATTCATAAAAGGAAATGATACGGATAGTCATTACACATTCAAAGACAATTACTGATCTAAAAGTAATGGCTTATTTCTTCTACATTAAATTATTTCACTATGTAAATTAGATTCATAACTACAATTGGTTGAAATTGTAGAAAACTCCTTAATGTGAAAAAAAATAAAGCATTTTAGGAATCTAAGGAGGATTGTGTTATCTTACTACATCATTTTGTTAGAAACTGCACTTTGAGGGTAGCAGGTGAGAATGGATGGGTCACATCACGACAGGTGATGAATGTCACACATCTGGCTCTTCTTTGCCAGCCAAGAGATGTGGCTTGTAATTGCTACTCTTCCCCCTTTTCTTGTGTTTTGGAGCACATGCTTCAATCTTTGAAAGATTCAGCCCATGTTTCCATATCCTTTTATATGTATTAAATAATAAACGAATTTTTATACAAATGAAAATAATATAAAATGAAAAGTTTATAAAATTATTCATAACAAATACCCTATTTCAATTTGTATTTCTTATTTCCAAGGAATTAAAAAAACTTTTAGAGAATTATACTGATAATTAAAAAAACTTGTAAGAGGTATATGCTCTTTTATTCCTTCTGCATTTTACTTATTTAATTTGCAGATATCCTCTCTTGTCTACTGATCCATTTCACACAGGGTCAAAATAGAGACATCAGCAAAGCAATCTCGGAAAGGCTACCATATGGGGGAGTTCCGTTGTATTCTTTTAAAATCTAAGCACTCCAAATTTTTTACTTTTATTTTCTGTGGTGTTCTATTCTTTACCACCTTAATAAAACACTGAAGAATATTCTCATTCTTTCTGCTCTACTGAAAGCTAAACACCCTCTGAGGAGACATTCCCTTTTCCTCCAATCAGAGTTGTCCCAAATTCCTTATTTCGCTGTAAAATAATACAGGTGTGCTTGGAAGTAATCATGTTCTGATTTTTATTCAGTATATATGCAGTGAATAAATACCGAAATATGTGTTTTGTTCTACGTGGTTCATTGGAAATAAAACTTCATATCAGATACAGTAGCAATTATCAACTTGAGAAATCTTACTGCTTCTCTCAGTCCTCAGCAATGTTTTTGTCTTCTTGTTTTGACTTCCACTTTCGTGAAGGGCCTTGAACCAGTCCCGCAATCTGTTTGCCACTTCCCTGAACTCCAGGTCACTGCATGCTAAAAACAGAGAAACAACAGAAGTCTTGAATAATATCTTAGTATAACGCTAGTGCTTTTTCTCTCATTATTCCCACAAATTGAAAGGTAACGACGACTAAAAGAAAAAGGTGTGACTCTGTTTCAGCTTTTTCAAAATTAAATACATGCTTTAAAATAAGATGTAATATGACAAAAACATTTTATGCAATAAAGAAGTATTATTAGTGGAATTCTATTTGCACTCTTCATTAGAATATGACACTTGGAGGATTTGTATTGATAACACCACAAAAGTTGAGCCATAATATTTATGTCATAAATACTTTTTTATGCTGGGGTGATAGGTTATCAGAGAAAATACAGGGTTGAAAATCCAAAATGATTATTATACATTTATTGTTGGCCATACCTATTGTAAGATGTCACAATTTATAATTCTTTATTCATATACTCAGTATATGTAGGAATGCACTATTATAAATATATACTGTTCCTATTTGATTTAATGCTATATATTTGTTAATCACAGAAAAGAAACAGCTATATAACTTGTGATTAGGAAAAAACTATAAAATATTTAAGAAAGTACTATAATGTTTCTATTGTAAAAAGACTGTACTGGAAAACCTTGCCATTTGGAACTAAAATAACTTCCTCTTTATTTTTTAAAGATATCATTATTAGCAGAATATGTTATGTGTGTGTGACTAGCATTGAAATATAGTATTCAAATTTAGTAATTTACTGCAAAAATACTTTGAAAATATATTTTAAAAGCCACCAATTTACATTGTTTAGAGGACATTGTTATTGCAGACCAATCCTCTGTGCATGCTGTAAATGTGCAATTTCCTCAACTAACAAGTAATTCATGCTAATACTCATTTGTCCGTTTGGTTAAAACACTATGCAATTATGGTATGTTTTATTACATTTAATATATACCATATACATTATATGTATCATAAATAACATAATGTAATGTAATTGGATGTAATACCATCCCAGACCATTTCCTAGTTCTCAAGTAGGGGTATCCAATCTTTTGGCTTCCCTGGGCCACACTGGAAGAATTGTCTTAGGCAACAAATAAAATACACTAACAATAATGATAGCTGCTGAGCTAAAAAAAAAAAAAAAATTGCAAAAACATCTCATAATGTTTTAAGAAAGTTTACAAATTTGTGTTGGGTTGCCTTCAAAGCTGTCCTGGGCCACATGTGGCCTGTGGGCCATGAATTGGACACACTTGCTCTAAAGGAAATCAGCTCCTAAATTAAAAAGAATCTCCCAGTACCTGGTATGGTGGGATGACCAAATTAGCCAATCATTGTGACATTTTAGAACACTGGAGACAAAATGATGATCTTATAAACTTCCATGGGGGAGGGTAACTAAAATTGTTACATACTTAGAATAAGGAATCAGAAATGCCTTCCAATATTTAAATAACATTGAAAGGCAGCATAGCAACATAAAAATTATTTCATATTTCTAAGAGAAATCAGGTGGGAAAGTAAGGTAAAGTAATTTTTACATATACAGGGTCTGCAAAACTAAAAATCCACATAATCTTTGCCCAAGATGCTACTACAATATGTGATACACCGGAGAGAAAATCAGCAAGAGGATGTCTGAGTCACAGGAACTAATGGAAGAGAGAGGTGAAGGACATTCTAGGAAGCTGGTGAAGGGTAATTACGGAGTGTGTACTGTGTGCTCAGGGCAGAGCAAGATGGCAGTAAGATCGAGATTTCTTGGCCAGGGATAGAGCAATGTACAGAATTCATTACTATCCTTTCATCCAGGGAAAAGAATAAGTTATAGTGAAAATCAAAGAAAAAAATCACTTTTACTGATAAGGTTCACCACGGCTGAGGCTGAGGTGATGAGGCAAAAAAATAGCATACTCTTGATATGAATGCTTACACTGTAGCCTGGAGTCTCTGTTTAAGCCATCTTGACATGGGTCTTCTGCTCCCCTTAAAGGGATAGGCACAAGAAAACAAACACCTACTTGAAAAAGAGGAATTCTACGTATTCATACATACCTGTGTAAATATCACATATTTCTAGAAGGATTTATATAAAGACATAACTCCCAAGGGAACTGGATTAATGGAAGAAAGTGGTGTGAGAGAATTTTATTTTTACCATTCATCTCTTTCTCTTTTTGAATTATGTACTATATAACTGTATTAATATTCAAAAGTCAACAAAATTTTAAAATTAAAAAAAATTACAAATGCATCTAACCCTTGACCCAGTAATTCTTTTTCTCCCTTTCCCTTCCCTTCCCTTCCCTTCCCTTCCCTTCCCTTCCCTTCCCTTCCCCTTCCCTTCCCCTGCCCTTGCCCTGCCCTTCCCCTGCCCTTCCCCTGCCCTTCCTTTCCTTTTTTTTGACAGAGTTTCACTCTTGTCACCCAGGCTGGGATGCAGTAGTACAATTTCGGTTCACAGCAACCTCCGCCTTTCAGGTTCAAGCTATTCTCCTGCCTCAGTCTCCCGAGTAACTAGAATTACAAGCCCCCACCACCATGCCCAGCTAATTTTTGTATTTTTAGTAGAGACGGGGTTTCGCCATGTTGGCCAGGCTTGTCTCGAACTCCTGACCTCAGGTGATTCACCTGCCTCGGCCTCCCAAAGTGCTAGGATTACAGCTGTGAGTCACCGCGCCCAGCCCCTATTTCTTAAAAATGTATCATACAGGTATACTACATGTATACAAACACAGTCATTTAAATTGTGTTATGTGGTGTATTCAACACTTTTTTAATAGCAAGTTTGTTAACAGCATAACACTCCATTATGTACACTATGGAGGTGAGATCTGAGAGAAAACAATGAACATTTATTGATCATATTCATCAACTCAAACATTGGGGTATCCGCTTCTTTTATAACACCATCAGCTAGTGAATTCATGTTACCTTGTCCAAATCATAGGTATTTGGTAGCACATCTGGTACTCCTAATTTAAAACAACTTCTATTATTTCAAATTAACATCTTTTCCTACCAAAAAACAATATACCAGTAATATATCTACACAGGAATACTGTATAGTCACATTCCAAATTCTTAGTATTTATTCTTCAGAAAGGTTCATATATAATGAGAATTGTTGGAGAGATTTCAGGAACATTTCAGTAACTTCCATAAGCCCAGGACATCTTAGTTTTGAGTATTATTAAAAATAATACTTTATGTATAAAACTTTTGAAAACATTTTAAATAATTTTTCAATTTAATTTTAATTTGCCAACAATTAACTGATTTACTTTAAAATTGGCAATAATTTATCTGAAACCATTGGCCAAAACGGGGATTCTTGCCAAATTAGAAAGTTTAAACCATACACTTCCTGAAATTAATTAAATTTGATAAATACGAAATTTAAAAATTAACAAAGTTGATATATTTTATAACTATTAAATGAAGTATCTATTAATAGTAATTATTATTTTCATGTTATAGTTGAGAATCAATAAATGTTTTTTTCAGGTCTCTAACTTTTACATAAGTTCTTACATTTTAATAGGCACGAAACTCTCTGCCGATTACAAAAATCGCTTAAAATGTCCCCTCAGTCCCTCAAATTGTATTAACTGAATGTTTATATTCCCCCAGATTCATATGTTAACACCTAATCCAGTGTTACGGTATTAGAAGGCAGGGACTCTGGGAGGTGATTAGACCCTGAGGGCAAAGGCTTCGTGATTGGGATTACTGCTCTTTTAAAATGGAAGCCAATCAGATCCCTCTCCCCTTCCACCATGTCAGAACATAGCAAGAGGAAGGCCATCTATGAACGGGGACCCGGGCTTTGGTCAGACACTGAATTTGCTGGTGCTGCCCTGATCTTGCACTTCCAGTCTCCAGAATTGTGAGAAATAAATTTCTGTTGTTTATAAGCCTGTGGCATTCTGTTATTCTTAGTAGCCTAAATTGAGTAAGACACACTATAACATACTTAAATGTAGTTATCAAGAACATTAATTTATTAAAGAACGAATATACTCATATCTGGCAATATGAGTTGTTAATTGTTTATGATTATGTTATACAATAAGGAAGCTCAGATGTAAATACAGAGGTCCAAGCAGAGGGGATGCTCTGGGAAGTTTCAAATCAGAGGCAGAGTCCACATTTTATTGTGCATTATCTGTCAGAAAATTTTGTAAGTTTTGTTCCAATACTATATTTAACAAGCTGTCTCCTATCTCTGCTAGGCTTGGTTCATAAAGTTTTTTAAAGCACTTCTAAGGTCACCACTCATTTTTGCTTAATGCTAGAAAATAATACTTTATGTCACAGATGATGAAATGAAGTAGTATAGGCATTTGTTATTTAAACAAATTTAGTACATTTAGGTCACAAAATACCAGGCATAATTTATTATTTTTTCCCTTATGAAATTTGGTAAAGAGATTTTTCTAAGTCTGATCTATGAGGTGAAGAAACGAAACACATCATTCCTTACTCTTCATCAATAAAAAATATTTGCTACCACCACCTTCCAACAATGTAATGTTTAGGAATTTTGACGGTCTTCCTGATGGGATTGGTTTGCATGTGAGTGTAGTACAGTTAAAATCTGGCAGAATACAATTACTCTAAAAGCAAAAAAGGCTTAAGTTGGTTCCAATGTGATTATTTTCTTTCAAGATATGTCCATTACACAAAGAAAAGTCCGAAGAACATGTCTCTCAGTGTCAACTCCAATCCTCCTATTACGTAGGGCCACGATGTCCTAAAGACACGAAAATGACAATATAAGACAAAATGCTCTCATGACACAATGTTTATTTCAGAATGAAGAGGAGTAAGGAGGAATTTTTTTTTTTTTTTTTTTTTTTGAGATGGAGTCTCGCTCTGTTTCCCAGGCTGGAGTGCAGTGGTACGATCTCCGCTCACTGCAAGCTCCGCCTCCGGGGTTCACGCCATTCTCCTGCCTCAGTCTTCTGAGTGGCTGGGACTACAGGAGCCCGCAACCACGCCCAGCTAATATTTTGTATT